TGTACTCATTATATCAGCTGCGGCTCATTACACCAGCCAGTACTCATTATATCAGCTAGTACTCATTACACCAGCCTGTACTCATTACACCAGCCTGTACTCATTACACCAGCTGAGGTCATTACACCAGCCTGTACTCATTACACCAGCCAGTACTCATTATACCAGCCGGTACTCATTATATCAGCCTGGACCACAGGATCACAAGTCCAGCGTGCTGTCCGCTCAGCCTGTACTCATTATATAGCCTGTACTCATTACACCAGCCTGTACTCATTACTCCAGCCTGTACTCATTACACCAGCCTGTACTCATTACACCAGCCTGTACTCATTACATCAGCTAGTACTCATTACACCAGCCTGTACTCAGTACACCAGCCTGTACTCAGTACTCCAGCCTGTACTCATTACACCAGCCTGTACTCATTACATCAGCCTGTACTCATTACACCAGCCTGTACTCATTACACCAGCCTGTACTCATTACACCAGCCTGTACTCATTACACCAGCCTGTACTCATTACACCAGCCTGTACTCATTACACCAGCCTGTACTCATTACACCAGCCTGTACTCAGTACACCAGCCTGTACTCATTACTCCAGCCTGTACTCATTACACCAGCCTGTACTCATTACACCAGCCTGTACTCATTACACCAGCCTGTGATCATTACACCAGCCTGTGGTCGTTACACCAGCCCGTGATTCATTACACCAGCCTGTGGTCGTTACACCAGCCTGTGGTCGTTACACCAGCCTGTGGTCGTTACACCAGCCTGTGGTCGTTACACCAGCCTGTGACTCATTACACCAGCTAGTGGTCGTTACACCAGCCTGTGGTCATTACACCAGACTGTGGTCGTTACACCAGCCTGTGGTCATTACACCAGCCCGTGGTCGTTACACCAGCCTGTGGTCATTACACCAGCCTGTGATCATTACACCAGCTAGTGGTCATTACACCAGCCTGTGGTCGTTACACCAGCCTGTACTCATTACACCAGCCTGTGGTCGTTACACCAGCCTGTACTCATTACACCAGCCAGTGGTCATTACACCAGCCTGTGGTCGTTACACCAGCTGTACTCATTACACCAGCCTGTGGTCATTACACCAGCCTGTGGTCGTTACACCAGCCTGTGATCGTTACACCAGCCTGTGGTCATTACACCAGCCTGTGGTCGTTACACCAGCCTGTACTCATTACACCAGCCTGTGGTCATTACACCAGCCTGTGACTCATTACACCAGCCTGTACTCGTTACACCAGCCTGTGGTCGTTACACCAGCCTGTGGTCGTTACACCAGCCTGTGGTCATTACACCAGCCTGTGGTCATTACACCAGCCTGTGATCATTACACCAGCCTGTGGTCGTTACACCAGCCTGTGGTCATTACACCAGCCCGTGGTCGTTACACCAGCCTGTGGTCGTTACACCAGCCTGTGGTCGTTACACCAGCCTGTGGTCGTTACACCAGCCTGTGATCGTTACACCAGCCTGTGGTTCATACACCAGCCTGTGATCGTTACACCAGCCTGTGGTCGTTACACCAGCCTGTGGTCATTACACCAGCCAGTGGTCATTACACCACCCCTGTGGTCATTACACCACCCTGTTTTCGTTACACCAGCTGTGGTCGTTACACCAGCCTGTGCTCGTTACACCAGCCTGTGGTCGTTACACCACCCTGTGGTCATTACACCACCCTGTGGTCGTTACACCAGCCTGTGATTGTTACACCAGCCTGTGGTTGTTACACCAGCCTGTGGTCGTTACACCAGCCTGTGATCGTTACACCAGCCTGTGGTCGTTACACCAGCCTGTGGTCGTTACACCAGCCTGTGATCGTTACACCAGCCTGTGGTTGTTACACCAGCCTGTGGTCGTTACACCAGCCTGTGGTCGTTACACCAGCCTGTGGTCGTTACACCAGCCTGTGGTCGTTACACCAGGCTGTGGTCGTTACACCAGCCTGTGGTCGTTACACCAGCCTGTGGTCGTTACACCAGCCTGTGGTCGTTACACCAGCCTGTGGTCGTTACACCAGCCTGTGGTCGTTACACCAGCCTGTGGTCGTTACACCAGCCTGTGATCGTTACAACACCCTGTGGTTTTTACACCACCCTGTGGTCGTTACACCAGCCCGTGGTCGTTACACCAGCCTGTGGTCGTTACACCAGGCTGTGGTCGTTACACCAGGCTGTGGTCGTTACACCAGGCTGTGTTCGTTACACCAGCCTGTGGTCGTTACACCAGCCTGTGGTCGTTACACCAGCCTGTGATCGTTACACCAGCCTGTGGTCGTTACACCAGGCTGTGGTCGTTACACCAGCCCGTGATTGTTACACCACCCTGTGGTCGTTACACCACCCTGTGGTCGTTACACCAGCCTGTGGTCGTTACACCAGCCCGTGGTCATTACACCAGCCTGTGGTCGTTACACCACCCTGTGATCGTTACACCAGGCTGTGGTCGTTACACCAGCCTGTGGTTGTTACACCACCCTGTGGTCGTTACACCAGCCTGTGGTTGTTACACCAGCCCGTGGTCGTTACACCAGCCTGTGGTTGTTACACCAGGCTGTGATCGTTACACCAGGCTGTGGTTGTTACACCAGGCTGTGGTCGTTACACCAGCCTGTGGTTGTTACACCAGCCTGTGGTCGTTACACCTGCCTGTGGTCGTTACACCTGCCTGTGGTTGTTACACCACCCTGTGGTCGTTACACCAGGCTGTGGTCGTTACACCAGCCTGTGATCGTTACACCAGGCTGTGGTCGTTACACCAGGCTGTGGTCGTTACACCACCCTGTGGTCGTTACACCAGCCTGTGATCGTTACACCAGCCTGTGGTTGTTACACCACCCTGTGGTCGTTACACCAGCCTGTGATCGTTACACCAGCCTGTGGTTGTTACACCAGCCTGTGATCGTTACACCAGCCTGTGGTCGTTACACCAGCCTGTGGTCGTTACACCAGCCTGTGGTCGTTACACCAGCCTGTGGTCATTACACCAGCCTGTGATCGTTACACCAGCCTGTGGTCGTTACACCAGCCTGTGGTTGTTACACCAGCCCGTGGTCGTTACACCAGCCTGTGGTCGTTACACCAGCCTGTGGTCGTTACACCACCCTGTGGTCGTTACACCAGCCTGTGATTGTTACACCAGCCTGTGGTTGTTACACCAGCCTGTGATCGTTACACCAGCCTGTGGTCGTTACACCAGCCTGTGGTCGTTACACCAGCCTGTGGTTGTTACACCACCCCTGTGGTTGTTACACCACCCTGTTTTCGTTACACCAGACTGTGGTCGTTACACCAGCCTGTGGTCGTTACACCACCCTGTGGTCGTTACACCACCCTGTGGTTGTTACACCACCCTGTGGTCGTTACACCAGCCTGTGATCGTTACACCAGCCTGTGGTCGTTACACCTGCCTGTGGTCGTTACACCAGCCTGTGGTCGTTACACCAGCCTGTGGTCGTTACACCAGCCTGTGGTCGTTACACCAGCCTGTGGTTGTTACACCAGCCTGTGGTCGTTACACCAGCCCATGGTCGTTACACCAGCCCATGGTCGTTACACCAGCGTGTGGTCGTTACACCAGGCTGTGGTCGTTACACCAGCCTGTGGTCGTTACACCAGCCTGTGGTCGTTACATCAGCCTGTGGTCGTTACACCAGCCTGTGATCGTTACAACACCCTGTGGTTTTTACACCACCCTGTGGTCGTTACACCAGCCCGTGGTCGTTACACCAGCCTGTGGTCGTTACACCAGGCTGTGGTCGTTACACCAGGCTGTGGTCGTTACACCAGGCAGTGGTCGTTACACCAGGCTGTGGTCGTTACACCAGGCTGTGGTTATTACACCACCCCGTGGTCGCTACACCACCCTGTGGTCGTTACACCAGGCTGTGGTCGTTACACCACCCCGTGGCAGAGATCCTTTACTGCTAGAATCCACTCAGTAAAACATCTAAACTACTGGGACCGACTAAAGAGCCTAAAACTGTACTCCCTTGAGCGCAGGCGGGAGAGGTACATAATAATTTACACGTGGAAAATATTAGAGGGGCTGGTCCCAAACCTGCACACAGAAATAACATCACATGAGACCAGAAGACAGGGCAGGATGTGCAGAATACCCCCGTTGAAAAACAGAGGTGCAACTGGTACTCTGAGAGAGAACTCTACCAACATCAGAGGCCTGAGACTGTTCAACACGCTTCCACTACACATAAGGGGCATAACTGGCCGACCCCTCACAGTGTTCAAGAGAGAACTGGATAAGCACCTCCAAAGGATACCTGATCAACCAGGCTGTGACTTGTACGTCAGGCTGCGAGCAGCCGCGTCCAACAGCCTGGTTGATCAGTCCGGCAACCAGGAGGCCTGGTCGACGACCGGGCCGCGGGGACGCTAAGCCCCGGAAGCACCTCAAGGTAAGGTGGTCGTTACACCACCCCGTGGTCGCTACACCACCCTGTGGTCGTTACACCAGGCTGTGGTCGTTACACCAGCTCATGGTCGTTACACCACCCCGTGGTCGTTACACCAGGCTGTGATCGTTACACCAGGCTGTGGTCGTTACACCAGCCTGTGGTCGTTACACCAGCCTGTGGTCGTTACACCAGCCTGTGGTCGTTACACCACCCCGTGGTCGTTACACCACCCCGTGGTCGCTACACCAGGCTGTGGTCGTTACACCAGCCTGTGGTCGTTACACCAGCCTGTGATCGTTACACCAGGCTGTGGTCGTTACACCAGCTCATGGTCGTTACACCAGCCTATAGTCATTACATTACCCTATTGATGTACATAAACACAGTATGCTGGCATCTGTGTACCTTCTCACTTTCCCATTTGGTTATTGGTCATATTTCGTATCATTTATATCGTAGTATCTGTTTCACTTTCAGTTTTCCAGTCGTGAGAAAAACATTTGTAGTCTAGAGAAAATTGTTTATACTTAGCAACTTTATTTCTCCTATAAGTCAAGATTCCTCCGCTGTTCTTTTGTGTGTTTCCGACAATAATTGTGAGCTCAGATTTGAGCGAATTGTGTTTTAAAGAACAGATTTATATTTTATCCCAGAGCAGAAATCTCCATTCTCTTATGACTTGGAAATTAAAGATGTGCAATTCTTTATTGCAGGTTCTCACGCTTGATCAGGTACCTGACATAATTGTTGACTGTCTAAAGTTCTTGAAGTCTGAGGCTCTCTTCTTAATAGTGTCACAGCTGACAGGACTCACCTTTCACAAACTTGCTCCTTCAGATTCTGAGCCTGAATCAAATGTGGAAGATGCTAAAGGTTAGTCGAGTTTGATTTAACTATTTTTCCCCCCCCCCCCCCTTCCCCGATGTGTGAGAATTGCCACCAGTGTGTCACTCAGTCAAAATATTGTATATAAGAACATTAACATGTCTTGGTATTAAAAAATCGTCCCATGTTGTGAAGACTTGCTCTTATAATATTCCAACTCTTTTGCCGAGATTCTTTGAGTTCGGCCTTTTTTCACATCTTGAGCCAGAACGATACAAAAAAATGACCGTTTTATATTGACAATATTCTGTACAGGTTTCCTCATTAGCTGCCATGAGCTTATGGCAGTGATGCTGTAGGGTCACATTCAGTATGCCAGGCTCTCCTAACTTTGTCTGAGGCAAACATAATTCCCAAATTCGTGTTCGCTTCCACATGGGAATCAAAGGTTAACCCATTACTGCAACACATATGCCAGAAATATGAGTCATATAACTCACAATAACACCCCTAGAAATATTTCACAATTATTTATGTGGCAAACAAAACTTGATCCAACAATGAGTAACTCTCGGCACTTCACGAGTGCTTTGACCTGGGTTCGCATCGTGGCCGGGGAGAATTGACTGGGCACCAATCCTTAAATTAATTGTAGCCTCTGTTTACCCAGCAGTGAATGGGTACCTGGTTGTTAACAGGTACCCATGAATATGCCGGGTCATATTCTGGGGAGAATGAGGATTAAGGACCTGTCAGGAATGCTATGCATGCAAGAATGTTTGCTTTATGAGAATGTAAGAACTCTTGCACATATACATAAATTAAAATAAAAAAAATTAAAGTTTTATATTGTATCATTAATTATGGCAGCTTAGGAGAAGATCAGGAATAGGCCCACATTGATCACCTGTAGGTGAAGTGTCTCTACTTATAGTTGATTATAGGTATTTATTGATATGTTTGGAACCAGTTAAGTGCAATATTTAATATATTCATTACAGAATCTTGTCCGCGGGTAAGCATTGATGTACAAAGATGGAGCCATGGATGTTACACACTCCTCCGAGATGACTTGGAAAACAAGTGCGCTCTTGATGCTAACCTGTTCGTCAATGTGTCTAGCCAGTGGTCCCAGCAGCACGGAGGCTTTATATCATATATTGCCAAGAATGTGGATGAAGAGGTACACTTCAATAAATGTTTGTAATTTCATTAATCTTGTATGCTTTGGCACAATTTTTAACACTTTCGCCCGGGCATGACGCAGCATTGCGTCATCCGTTTACTGGCGGTAATACCGGGGATGGCGCAGCATTGCGTCATCCACTTTAAATAATCGCCAAAAATCAGGTTTTTATCCGATTTTTTTGGGACTGGTTTTAAAATGCGCGCCGATGTCTTCCCATTTTCTTTGTTGAGCCTCGTGGCCCTCAGGCGGCTTGGCACACACTGTGGGCCCATTGTTTTCGCTCCACTGTTGTGACCAATGTTGCCTCCCCTCGCATCTCGAACGTGTGAACATTTCGGCTATTTTCCGTGGCTATATTTCTTACTGCGGCTTTAGAAACTATCTACGCTTACTCCACGATGGATAGTGATCATGAACAAGGCCCTTCCAGGAAGAAAATTGGGAAGAAAGGCTTGAAAAGGGCGGGAATTGGGAGTGTAGCTGGAAGGCATCTGAGCGCTCACTTGCGGCTAACGCGTGGCCCGTCTTCAACTCGTCGGCGGTTGGAGCGTGACCAGGTTTTATATTTTATATGCTAATGTTCCTATAGAGAATTCTATTGCGAATCCATTGAGACCAAAATGAAAGACCTAGGACGAAAATCGAGGTGACCAGAGTGAAAATAGTGAAAACATTTTATCGCGTTTGCGCGCTCCTGGGTAACTCGTTCGCACTTTCTCTGTTTGCTGCGGGTAATTAGCCGGGCTTTTGGAGTTTATATGCATTTAGTGCTGTAGAGAATTCTATTGCGAACACAATGATACAAAATTTAATCTCGTAGGACGAGAATTAAGGTGACAAAGTTGAAGAGAGTATACACTTTTCAGAATTTACGCGCGCTCCCGTGACACCCTGGGTCCTATATCGCACAGTTGAGGGGTGGTGGGCGGGGTGCGCGAAAGTGTTAATTTTGTTTAGGTATTTGTAATACAGTATGTGGATTTTTGCCAGGATTGATAACAAGTGTTTAGTGATGTGGTAAGTTATGGCTCAGAATTATTTAATTTTTAGTCAATAAGGGGCCTGAATATTACTCAAAGTATTCCCTACATTTCAATTACTCCGAATTTAACAGAGCCCTGGATTTAATGATCTGGGTACAACTCCATATAGGTTGTTAAATCGAGTGGATAGTGTAATATCCCAGCCTCCCACCAGATGGCAGTTCAGGTCACCTAATGCTTGCATCCACATGCTGACCTCACTCAAGATGCCACTCTTAACCCTGCAATTGCATATTTGCAGGGTTAAGAGTGGCTCCCCCCTTACCCCCTTTCCATGGGAGGAGATAAGGGGGAGCCCCGGACCCCCCTCACCAGCTATCCTACCCTAGTTCAGAGGCTGATGTGTCGAATGGCGGTCATTCGACTCTGGCTCCAAATTTGAGAGGTTCTATGCCTTGTGGTGTTGTGCTATTGTGTGGTGGTGTGTGAGCCAGGTGTAATTCAAAGGTGTACTGGGGCTGCATGCATCTAGGGTCACCTTCCCTAAGTGCCCTGTAAGTACTGCCCTTGCAATTTGGGGTTACCTTCCACAAACAGGTCGGGGACTACCTCCGCGGGGTTCTTTTGCTGCTCGGCAATTGCCTGCCCTTGGGGTCAGCTGGGGTTTCTTCTACCCCTGTCTGGTCTTGGATAGGAGGTAGTATCGTCGTTGGCAGGGGCGCAAGGTACTGTGCAGCTGTCTTATAGTACGCATAGCAGCTGGTTCTGTTCCTCCTGGAGACGTTGTACTTTTGCGAGTTTTTTATTTCTTTCATTTTGTTTGCCTGGTGGGGGTCTGCCTGGTGTGGCGACAAGACCACTTGTATTATTTTGGTGATCCTCTGCTAGGTCCCCGTGATTGTACACATCGCAGGGGTTCAACTTTTGTTTGTTTGTTTGGTAGTTCTTAGATAACCGGTTAGCATTCTTAGATAACCGATTAGCAGTACCTTGTCTGGCTTCCCTTAGCAATCAGCCTCAGGGCCCCTTGAAAACCCCATTGGGGCTCATTGGTCCAATGAACGCATCTTCTGAGTCCCATCTCGCTTCGTGCGAGTTTGAAGGTTGCTCTGTCCCCTTGTCTCCGGATGACACTCACCACCGTTTTTGCCTTCACCATGCTGCCTGTTGGGTCAATGACACCTTTGACCCTGAGTTCTGCGGGTGGAGGCATTTGAGCCGGTTCCTCCTGCTGGGGCTTTTGGGTCGGACCAGTGGACCCCCCTTCTTTCCTGCTTTTCCGGTGGACTCTGCCTTTTCTACACGGTCAGAGGGTTTGGAGGATGGCTCTGCCTTGGGTCCTGACGTGGAGGATCCCAGGGCTGGGGAGAAGTTGACTTAGGGGGCTTGAGTCACGTTTGACCCCACTTGGGTGTTGGTACCCTTGGGGGGGGGGGGCTTGTTGCTGGAGGGGGAGTTTTTTTTTTTTTTTTATCAACCCCACCCTCCCTGCACGAATTTGATATGAGTTCGGCTCCTCTCCGGGTTCCCCTGGGTTCCTCGGTTCCCTCTTTCCGGAGGTTTTTGGCTTCCCATATCCTGCATAAGGAGGTTCGGGAGGCTCTTGCGTCGTACCTCTTGAGAGACCCGGATTTCGCCTCAATAATGGAGCCTTCTTCATTTGAGTTTGGTTCCTCTTTTCCTTACTGGGTGCATTACAAGGTACAGGAGTCTTCCTGGTTGGCAGATTGCCTTTTCTTTTCATTGGGGGTGTGGCATGCGTTCTGTCGGACCCGCACGCTTGAGTGGCGAGAAACTACTACTGTAGTTCAGGTTTACTTGGGGGGCAAGTTTGAGCACCTCAATGCATGCTTGTTCGCCCCTGTGCTTCCTCGTGATATCGGCCAGGTACAGTTTCACGTGCAGGATCCTGTCCTTACGGCATCCTTGGGAGCTGAAGACTTGTGCGCCTGTGGGCATTTGGCCTCGGTCTTGTGCTTCTTTTCCCTGCTTGGGCTGTCTTCAGATTGGCTTGAAGAGGATGTGAAGGCGCTGGGTTCCGGGCCTGCATCCGGTGCGATGCCTCAGTGGCTCGGGCGTTGGCTGCCTTGTTGAAGTTGTTTGCGCTGATTATGAAAGAAGCGGTGTCTCTGTTCTTTGCTTCTCGCCTCCCATGCAGACAGGCATTGCTCGATCACTCTTTGGAATGTGCTTGGTCCCTGGCTCTTAGATTTTCGTCCCTTTTCTGGGGGGAGCCCCTTCGGTTTCCCGGAGCTATCCAGGCTGGATATTGCTAATGTCAGACTTTGGCATCAGTCATGTGTATGGAGTTCTTAGGACCTACCGGGGGACCCCGAGCCAGAACCTGGCCCCCTCAGAGAAGTACGAGGAGCAATGGCCTATAGAAACCCCTGTGTGGTTGGAAGCATTCTATGTCTGCCATCGACCGGGTCATGCACCCAGAAAGGTAGGTTCCCTAAAACAAATCCCGATTCCGGTGAAAATTACTATAAAAAGCCGAACAAGTGGACAGAACTCCCCTAAACTGAAATGAGCAAGCGAGCATGACGTCACACATCGCCGTGCCGCTGTCTGCGCAGCTCCCTCCTCCCCAGGAGGGTGAATGGGGAGCCCCAGACCCCTCGTGCCAGCTACCCAAGACTCCAGTTATGAGGCTGATGTGCTAGGCAGAGGTCGTGTACTCTGGCTCCAGACTTATTTTCAGCTCTGTGCCTTGTGTGTGGTGGCTGTCTTTTAGGGGGTGCATAAGCCAGGAATATTTCTTCAGTACTCGGGCTGCATGCGCCTAGGGTTCCCTTCCCTAGGTGCCCTGTGAATACTGCCGTTTGGGGCTTGGGGCAACCTTCCACAAGTTCCTTGGGTTCTTCCTCTGCTTGGCCGTTTACTGTTCGATTTTTGTCCGCCCTTTGTGTGTTAGGGTGTTCTGACTCCCTTGTTCGCCTTAGGGTAGGAGGCAGTTTGCACAGGTAAGGGGCGCAGGGTACTGGGCAGCTTGTTTTCACCATTCATAGCAGCCGGCTCTGGTCTACCTGGGTACACTGTCCTGCGGGGTTTTCTTTTTTTTGTTTGCTTGCCTGGTGGGGGGTCTGCCTTGGTTCTTGCCCCCTGTGTACTGAGTACTCTTCTCTGTTCAGGTGGTATCCCCTCCTTGGTCCCCCGTGAGTGTACACGTCCTGGGGGTTCAGTTCCTAGAAACCTGTTTGGTAGACTTGGGCGCCGGTTAGTAGTACCCTGCCTGGGCTTCCTTGAGCGTGAGTTCCATCTCAGGACCCTGGGAAACTCCACAAGAGTGCGTGGGTCCGATGGATATGACCCCCTGAGCCCCCCTTCCTTCCTTTATGCAAGTTCGAGGGTTGCTCTGTCCCCTTGTCTCAGGGTGACTCTCACTGTTTTTGTCTCCGTCACGCTGCCTGTTGAGTTGGTGACACTTTCGACCCAGAGTCCTGCGAGTTTTGTTGCATGCTTGTGACTCAAGTTTACCCTGTCTACTGATGACGTTATTCGGGTACAGACGGCGCAAGCGTTGCATGTTAGGTTTAGGTTGTTACAACACGCTAGGTTGGTTGCTATGCCGGATGCCCCGAGTCTGCCCCATTTTGCTTATAGGGACCTGGACTTGGGGGTAATGGTAGCTTCGGCTTGGTTCTGTCTGTGCCCCCTCGTCCTTCCTCTGCTGTAGTTCTATCTGGTCCCCCCCTTCCCCTGCTTCCGGCCCCGAAACGTCTGAGGGTTTCGGGGCCAGGGCAGGGTTTAGATGGTCTTGAGACTTGGGCATTCTTGGGGGATGCCCCTTCTGGAGTGGCGACTGAGGTATTCGAGTCGGTTCTCCCTGCCGAAGCGCCTGGGTCTGACCAGTGGGCCCCCTTCTGTCCGGCTTTTACGGCTGCGCCAGCCTTTTCTTTTGAGGCCGGGGCTTTGGGAGATGACACGGCCCCGGGTCCTGATGTGAAGGATTCCGGGGCTGGAGAGGGGCCGACTTGGGGGCCTTGGGCCCCGCCTGGGTTTTTCTACGCTCTGAGCGGGGCTTACTGTTACAAGGAGTGGGGCTTTCCTTTCTTCCCTCTGCATATGAATTGGATTTGGTGTCTGCCCCTCCCCGGGTTTGGTTTCATGTCCCTTATGGTGCTTCGGTCCCGTCTTTCCGGAGGTTTTCGGCTTCCCTCATCCAGCCTCATAAGGTGCGAGAGGCCTAATTGGAATGCCTCCTGCGTGACCCAGATTACGCCTCTATTATGGATCCATCTTCGTTTCCCTACTGGATCCGTTATGAGGTTCCGGAGTTGTCCTGGCTAGCGGACTGTCCTGTTTTTGGTTTGGAGGCATGGCATACCTTCTGTTGTTCCCGCATGCTTGAGTGGCGTGAGGCATTGCGGTGGTATAGGTTTTCCTGGGGGGGGGGGGAGAGTTTGAGCACCTCAATGAGTGCTTGTTTGCCCCTGCCCTTCCTCGGGATTTTGGCGTTGTGCACCTTCATGTACAGGTCCCCTTCCTTCCGGCTGTGCAGGTGGCTGAGGACTTGCACGCACGTGACCTCCTGGCTTCGGCCTTGCGTTTCTTTTCCCTCCTGCAGCTGTCTTCTGACTGGCTTGAGGAGGATGTGGAGGCGCTTGGGACCGTTCCTGGGTCCGGTGCCTTGGGCTCGGCAGCTCGCACGTCGTCTGCCTTGTTGTAGCTGTTTGCGCTGATCCTGCGAGATGCGGTGTCGCTCATTTATGCCTCCCGGCTCGCATGTCAGCAGGCGGTGCTGGCTTCCTCCCTGGAATCTACCTGGGTTCTGGCTCTTAGAATATCACCGCTATAAGAAATGATAACTAGCTGTGCAGTATCCCCCGCCCCTACCAGTGACGAAAACTACCCTACCCAGAGGCAAACAAGGGCAACAAAAACCCCAGCTGACTCCAAGGGCAGCCAAGTACCAAACTAAAAGACACAGCAGAGGTAGACCCCAAGGACACTTGTGGAAGGTGGCCCCAAGCCCCCAAGGGCAGTACTTACCAGGCACCTAGGGAAGGAAACCCTAGGCACATGCAGCCCAAGTACCATAGAATATTACTCCTGGCTCACACACCACACCAGAATGTGTGTGGCTCCTGTAAAGACTGTCCATGCCACAAGGCACAGTAACTGAAACCAAATCAGGAGGCAGAGGCACCCGACCTGACAGTATCACATCAGCCATGAACTGCTGGTTGGATCATCGGCCCAGGGGTCTGGGGCTCTCTCTTCCCCCTCTCTGGGAGGGGGAGGTTGCTCAGACGGTAGCTTGGAGACGTGATGATGTCATGCTAGTTTGCAAGTTTTCATTTGGGGAGTTCTGTCCACTTGTTTGGCTTTTGGTAGCAATATTTTCACCAGAATAGGGGTTTGTTTTGGGGCACCTACCTTTCTGGGTGCCAGAGCCGGTCGATGGCAGACATAGAATGCTTCCAACCACATGGGGGTTTCTATAGGCCATTGCTCCTTGTGCCTCTCTGAAGGGGCCAGGTTCTGGCTCATGGTCCCCGGTAGGCAAGAACTCCATGCACTTTGACTGATGCCAGAAAGCTAATAGTTACATATCAGCCTGGATAGCTCCGGGGGAGCCTCTGGGTCTCACCCAAAAAATGGCGTTTCATTACATTCAACGCTGGTTTTTTAATCCCTCTTCAAAAGGAAGATTTAAAATTTCTGGGATCACCTTTATCATCCTCTTCTGGTGCATTCAAGTAAATGTTGGTCCATTCTATAATATTGTGACTATAATAACTGCAAAATCTATATAGAGCTTAATAAGAGAAAGATAAAACTGAGGATTAGATATCATATTGCTAGCACCTTTAGAAGTAAATCACAATGATATAAAGGCTTTATTCTGTATATTTGTGCATTAATTTTTTGGCTTAAAATTACTGCTAATCATGATTCCCAGATCCTTTTCACATTCAGATTAGGAAATCCACGCGAACCATATATTTTCTTGTGTTTACGAAATAATAATCTTTCTTTCACCAGCTGCTGACTGTGATGCCACAACCCAACCGATTTGCTCTAGTGTATCGAGATGTTGAAACTGCGTGTTTCACCAAACACATTAACACTAGTGTATGTCAGCTGGGAGAGAGAGACAGCACCTACAACAACTTTGCTTGTGTCTTTTATGAATGATGAGTTTTGTATTTTAGGACCAAATGTTTCTTCTTGTATGTTGAAATTTTCACACGTGAACATTTGTGTAATGTTTTATAATTGCTCTGTTGTATATTCCACTCTTATTTAATACGTAAATAATTTGCCGTGATTTGAATTATGGCAGTAAATTTAATATTATCAGTAACGTTTAGTTACACTGTGAGTACTTTTAATGTCTGGCCATAAGAAGACTGCATATAGCAGCTAGTTTGTATTCACCTCTGTCAAACTTTTGAAAGAAGCACTTTGGGCATTTTATTGTTAGTGTGACTAAACAAACTTTGTTGTGTGGCTGGAGTTCATGTTCATAAGCATTCAGAAATGCTGTGTATTTATCTAAATAAAAACTAAAACTGTACTCTGAAATAGACCGTGTCAGGAACTGATACAAGATATAATACTGTGCAATTGATGCTAAAATTTAAGTGACTTTGAGAAATATAATAAATTAATTAATCCAGCCTGGTCAAGGGAATTTTTGTTTTTGTAACATTTTTGTTTTTATCTAATTGTAAGAATCTACGGTGAGAAATGTGTTAATTGGTAGCTGTAGTATGAGACTTGTGACGGTAGAGTGTGTGCAACATTTTGACTATTTTGGTAAACTACTCTGGTTTAGGCCAACATAAGTCCTTTGATCCTCATATCAGTTGCAAGGATCATCAGACCTTGGAAATGCCTTTAACAAATTTATATTTTATGAAAACTGATCATACCTTGCAAAACTTAACTGATATTGCAGTATAGGTACAGTATTTCCATAGTATACTTCTTTGACCATAAAAAGATTTTCCCATTTTCTTACTGGTATTTAAGCGAGACATTTGGCATAGTTGGGTGTAGAGTGTGAGCGAGGTAGTGTGTTGGTGTGTGATTAAGACTTGAGGGAAAGTGCTACACACCTGGATTACCAGCATTATTGTTACTAGTGTCAAATGTCATTGTAAAGTAAAGTGCAAACTCTTTACTTCTTTAGTAATCTTAAAGATACCAACAAATACTAAATTTCACATTGTGCAATAAGCATGGAAAAAAACAACAGATTTTTTTTTAAGATTAGTAACACGAGTTTCCGTATTAGAATGTTTTAGCTGAGTGAGAAGAGCCATTCTGGTGTTTGCCTGTGGATAAAATATGATGCTTGATAACCTCACATGTCAGTATTATCACTGTGTATTCCAGCCAAAGGCACGAGTCGCGAGACTCACACTACAGTATCATTGTAAAGCTATAATTTTCTATATACAGTATTTAGGAAAGCATTTTGGGTTAGCTGCAATGACTTGCTTTTATATTGACTAAACTCCATTTGTATATGTAATTAAATGCATTGTGCATACAAAAAATTCTCTTTTTAAGTGACAAAGTCATGTGATAAGAGTGGATACCTCAAAATAAAAATCTTGGCAATTGTGTTGATGTGATCTGTCATAAAGTTGGGCTCAGAAGCTGACCGTGCTGTTGATGCACAGACTCGTCCAAAAGTGCATTAGTGTAGGCTGTGGTGCACTACACATAATTACACAGGAATAATTATACTGTATATTATAAATCAAATATATTCTCTGTTACTAGAAACCACTTAATATTTTATTACGACTATAGTATTTAAAATACAATAACAGGTTCATATTAGCAAAGTTTGAAATATTTGTTTCTTTGAATATGATGATGCATAATTTCTGGAGACTACCTGGAGAGGGTCTCGGGAGTTCTTCTACTCCCTAAGCGCTTGACTTTGTTATAATAGGTAACAAAGAAGTATAGCTTTCCATTCACCTGGGCTCTAGGAGACTTGAATTGCAGACCCAACGTGTGAGAAGGTGAAACTCTATCGACAGAGCTATTGAGTAGCCTTAACCCTTTAACTGCGCAACACGCCTGCAGGCCTAAGCATCGGGTGCGCAACACGCCTCCGGGTGTTTTTATTTTTCACGTTCCATTCAAAACTCTCGTGGCTACATGGGGTTCACATCAGCTTCCTCAGGGCTCTTGTAAACAGAGCCATCTTTAAAAAAATCATGGTCCACATTCCTGGGTGTCAGAGCCTCAGTAGTGAGTGAGCAACCAAGGCTGGTGCTCGCAGCATGAGCGCACAGCACTGCTGTTCAGCGTGTGACCACAGCATTGCCTAATATTGTCAAAATATATATATAATCTGTTTTATTTAGCCATGATAGTATTATAGAAGAGCCTGAGTGTGATAATGACTGGGTACAATGTTCAAATATCAGTGATTCAATGCTGTTCACGATGTTCACAGCGCTAGCCACAGCACCACAGCATTATTTCATCCATCTAGCAATCTTCAAATGACTTTTTAGGTTTCATTTCAAAATAAACTTTGGTCAATTATTCTTTTACAGGAATTAATGACCAGGATTGTGGTTATAATTAGCGTTGTGTGTACTATTGTGGAAGGAGGAATTTTGGTGAGGGAGGGAGGGAGAGAATTGAGGTAGCCTCACTGTGTGGCAGCCACTCTTTGTTTTGCTCACCATACTAGCTTCGTGGTTCACTATGGTGAACACACATGTACATGGGTATATACAGTGTGTGTGTATAGTGTAATAACAGCAACAGGAGAATGTTAAGAGGAGCTATTTTGGTGAGGGAGGTAGCGTCGTCTGCTGTGTGATTTTTCATGCAGTGTATGGTGGCAACTATACTGTTTGGACACAATACCGGCTTACTTGCATAGTTCTGGTAAATAAAACATGTAGATAGGTATATATAACGTGTGTAAATAGTGTAATAAAAACAATAACAGTATGGTGGGAGGAGCAATGTTGGCGAGTAAGATGTTGGAGTGAGGGAGACTGGCTGGGTGTGGCTGCTCACACTCGTGGTGTTCTGAGTGTGTTGATGGTAAACGTATATAGTGTGTGACAGTGTATAGTGTGTACATATGTTGTAAATATACATTAATGAACATGAAACATTAGTGTGAATAACTGTATGATGGGAGGAGCAATGTTGGCAAATACAATGTTGGAGAAGTGAGGGAGGGCTGGCTGGGTGTGACAGCTCTCACTCACGGTGTTCTGAATGTGTTCATGGTGAATGTATATAGTGTGACAGTGTATAGTCTGAAAATAGATTGTATATATATATACATAAATTAGTATGATACATGATAAATATGTGCAACATATGTGTACACAAGTGTCATGCACGTAACACAGTGTTCTCGGACAGTACGGATGTTTTACTGCCATAATATAGTGTATGTTTTCATTATACATCGGATTAGTACGTAAAAACAAATAAAATGTATTTGAAACTGCACAAAAAATGAACAAAAATATATTCGCGGCAACTCGCACGCCCCGCCCCGGGAGCATACGTCACGGGCGAACGGGGAATGATGACGTCACGCGCCAACTTACGGACCCCATAGCAGCCAAAGTACGTACAAATTTGATTTTTTTTTTATATATGCACTCTGAGGGAAGGGTTTTTGACACTTTAAAAAAACAAAAAAAAAATTTAAATTGAATTTATTTCCTACGCACTACTGGGGGGTGTCATATTTAGAAGCGGCGCAGTTAAAGGGTTAATAAGGAGAGTAACTGTATTTCTAATAGCTCGGACGATAGAGCTTCAGCCACACATGTGGGGTCCACGGTTTGAGTCTCCTAGAGCCCTGGTGAATGGAATATTTATTTCCACAGAAGTGTGGATGACAAATTATATGACATGATCATGGGTCAGTAATTCCTCCGAGCTTCAGTAGTAGTCGGGGAACGTCAAAAATTCCAGTTTGGCAGCAGGATGCTGCCTCCGGAAACTTTCTTTATTAATTAACACTTTCGCGCTATCTGGACGCGCCGGCGCGTTCGGTTTCGTCTAACGTAAACGCATAGTGGACATAAAGTTATGTCTACTTTTAAAATATTTGTATAAAATTCAATTTTTATCCGATTTACTTTGGGTTTGTTTCAAACTGCGCGCTATGAGGCTCTCTTTCTCACCACTAGGCTGCATGGTACAATAAGTTCATGAAAGGTGTGGATAACTTCGATCAAATGGTATTTTGTCCCCAAACGGGTTGCAGGTGGGTGATTTTAGCCGTTTATACTGGTAATTCTTCCCCCATATCATGTATTATATGCATATGTCTGTTTAGGGAATTTTATTCCAATCAATATACAACCAAAAATAACTGTGTGCAACAAGTATAAACTTGACAAACATAACAAAAGTAAAAATATTTCGTGTGTGTTTGACGCTCACTGATATGTTCCAGCGTTGTTTTATATTTGTCGCTATTCTAACTTACGCTTTGTTGATATTTTTTACCTATGGGCACATAGAACATTCTATTGCGAACACATTGACATAAAAATGAATGACGTACATAGAAAATTAATGTCATGAGAGTGAAATAAGTATAAACTTTCAAAGCGCCGTGTGTCGTCCCGTCACCGATACCGGGTAACAATTTCACCACTTTCCACACTCTTGCGGGCGGGCTGCATCATTATTCTACGCTTATATTCATATCACCGTGTTGGGAATTTCATTGCGAGTCCATTGATACCAAAATTAACGCTGTAGAACAAGTGTGGAGGTGATAACAATCCCAAGAGTAAAAACATTTTGTTGCTAATGGGCGCTCACGGCGAGTCATCTACGTAGTTATTTATTTGGTGCTGGTATCCCTATATGTTTTGTGACTTATTTTACTGATGTTCTTCTAGAGAATTTTATTGCGAACACGTTGGTACCAAAATGAAATACGTAGCATGAGAACTAAGGTCAGAAGAGTAAAAAGAGTATACACATTTTTGTTTTTACGCTTAAGCGATAAAAACGCAGCGCGCACATTCGGTTGGCTGAGTGACCTTTGTGGAGAGCGCGAAAGTGTTAAGGGCCCCAGTGCATGTGCACCCAAACTTTCTTAAACACACTCAATTTTTTTGTGCATAATCTTCATGGTAAATGCTCCAACTTTTCCTAATGGACAAACATCATACTATGAACAGAAAAAATAAAAAAATAAAATAGACAAAAAAATTACAATTTCATGATTTCAAATTAAGAATAAAAATGTTAAAATGTCACCAATTGTTATTTTATTCATTATGGTGTCAGAATGGCATATGACGTTCATGTTGCTCGCTGCAAAATATTGTTTGAGAATGTAGTTTGCTGTAAAATAATTATTCACTGCGGCCTTCCAAATATGTGCAAAAGTTAGATGCAAAAAATTCATAACTGAACGTTATGGGTTTATGACTAAATGACAGTGAGGACTCCTTAGAACTAAGCACTTTGCACATATGTTAAAATGGTCAGATTCGGTCAGAAACCAAATTTTTTATTTGGTCTCAAAGCTGAAATTAATTTTTTTGAGATAATTGAAGTTGACGTTATCGACAATAAGTATGGCAGTTCTAATTACTAATGAATTTTCTTGTATGTTTTAATAAATATTGCTTGACATTTGTACTCGAATATGTGAAAGTTGTA